AGAAAGAAAGAAAGAAAGAAAGAAAGAAAGAAAGAAAGAAAGAAAGAAAGTGGTGGGGGCGGCAAGATAAAGAGATTGGCTATACAGTTTAGTAAGGATACAGAGGATTTAGCTTAGCAGGGATATAGCTTATAGAGATTTAGCTTAGTAGGGATACAGCTCATGAGGATTTAGCTTAGTAGGGATACACATGGGGGATACCACTAATGGGAATTTGGTGCCTAGGGATATGGCTCAGTGACACAGCACCTGCCTCGCATGTGTTACATCTTAGGTTCAACCCTCAGTACAAAGGCCAAAACCAGGAAATGCTGCTTTCTGTGGCCAAAGTGACCTGTTAGCTAGCATGATGACACACATCTGTAACCCCAGCCTTGGGAATCTGAGTCAGGAGGCATTCTAAGTCAAGGCTAGGCCAGGCTCGCCTAGCCAGTCCTCCTCTCAAAAACAAATCAAATGTATAAAAGTAAAATGAGCTCTTTGCAGGATCCCAGTCATGGGAAGGCTAGAGGCCATGGAGGAATGTCACCCTGTAAGGCCTTCCAGGCATGGTCCTGTCTATAGGACACAGATCTGTTGAGTCAGACTCATGGGAGAAGGCAGGCTGGGCAGAATTGGAGCTCAAGTCATCTCCCTGAGGCAGGGTCTCCAGACCCTAGGGCCCCTGTCCCAGTTCTCATGTCCTCCCTGGACCCCTCTTGGAGTTGGTTTCGTGGGAGCAGAAAAACCTGGAATTTTAGGAAGACAGTGATTTGCCACACAGGTGTGACTGCTGTTCTCCTGGTTCACATTTATTGCCCGGGAGGACAATCCTGTTTTAGGCTTTCCCCTCCAACAGTTGATAGGCCAGGAAAAGGCCCCTGATCCTGCAGGACCCTCTGCTAATGCAGAGGGCAGTGGGGTGGGGGCGCAGAGGCTGAATCCTGATGTCAGGGCTGGCCAAGCATGACTCAGCAGCCTAGTGGCCTGACAGCCTTAAAGCTTCAAGCAGGCCAAACTTCCTATGGGACATCTGTGCCAATGGGGAGCCATGAGGAATTCCTTTACTTTGTCACCAGTGGGAGAAAGAGAAATGGCAGGAAATGGGGTCCTGGGAGAGTTGGCCTAGAGACTCCTGCCTCTGGGAGATGCCCTGGGTTCCAGGCCAGACCAGCATGCCTTGCTGCATACAGCAACCCAGGCTCTCTCCTCAGCTCCCAGGCCAGCCAGGGAGGTAAACAAGGCGGTGGCTGGGGAACCCCCTGGCAGGGCCCTCTGTGCTTGCTGTGGTCAGGTGGCCCAGGAGGCTATGAGTCAGAGTCCCATGATCATGGTCATAACAGGGGGATCCCAAGCTGCTGCCATCCGTTCCATTGCCAGCAGACAGGATGGAGAAGGTTCTTGAGGATGTGATGTCTCTGGAGAAGGGTCTTGGGAGGGGGGTCTCTGGAGGTCCCTACAGCAAAGTGAACTTTCAGAGGACAAGATTGCCAAGATAAGTGAGCCAGGCATCTTGCCAATGTCTGATGTCTTTTTCATGAGACCACCTGTCCCTCACCCACTGAAGTGTGGACTAGAGGGAAGGGGACAGCTTGGCATCTGCATCAAGGGAGAGTACTTTTGACTGTCTCTGGGCAGGTGACTAGCCCTGTCTTTGAAATGGGTCAGGAGTAGGAGGACCTGAGCCCCTCGCTAGGGGACTCCCCACAGGTGTGCTCATAGAAGCTACCAGTGAAGTAAATGTGCAGGCCTTAAGTGGCCCACCTGAGTCAAGAGGTAGAGTCTGTGACAGGAGCAGGAGTGGCCCAGGACCTCTGCTGTTTGTTTCCTTGGGTTCCCCCACAGCTTGGCAATGGCTTCCTCATTGAAGCTAGCTCCAGACACACCAGAAGAGGGCAACAGATCCCATTACAGATGGTTGTGAGCCACCATGCGGTTCCTGGGAATAGAACTCAGGACCTCTGGAAGAACAGTCAGTGCTTTTAACCCCCAAGCCATCTCTCCAGCCTCTTGATTCATCTTGTTAGGTCTCATGTCGACCATATGTCCAGAAATAAGCTCAAGCTGGACTGTAGAAGGATTTCTCGTGGTGAGATAAAAGCCAGCATTCCTCAGGAACTTATGAAATGGGTTTTATCCCTAAAAGAGAGCCATTCCCTAAAAGCAGTCATGGCTGAAAGGTCACGGGTTTTCCACGGGTATCAAAGCCCATGCTGACCTCCAGGTTTCCTTCTCACAAGTACTTGTTAGACATTTCAAAGACCCCATCCTGGCCCCTCTCACCTCCCCAGGGCCCCTGTTCCAAGATACCTGCTTGTAGTTTATATAACAGCAAGGTTGGGCTGAAGAGATGGCTCAGCTGTTAAGAGCACTGACTTTTCTTCCAGAGGTCCTGAGTTCAATTCCCAGGAACCACATCACATGGTGTCTCACAACCATCTGTAATGGGATCCGATGCCCTCTTCTGGTGTGTCTGAAGATAGCAACAGTGTACTCATAGACATAAAATAAATATATAATTCTTAAAAACAAAAAACAAAACCAAAAAACAAAAACAGCAGTGATTCCCCCGCCCCCTGCTCCTGCATCTCTTGCTATCTCTGGCCATCTCCACTGTTCTGTCCCCCTCTTCTTCCTCCCTAGCCCAAGCCATGTCAACTCTGCTTCTGGTTTTCTCTGCCCTGAACTCTTCCAGATGCCTCTGGATATTTTCTCCCTCTCCTTTACAATAAAAACCTTCTCCCTAATAATGGAGCATCACTCACGTGGCAGTTTCTTTACTGCACTGTCTAGCCTATTGAGTCGTGGGATGAGGAGTCCATGTAAGTGCTGATCAGCTGAAGCCAAGGCCACTGAGGCGGAGATGCTCAGACCATTCTCAAAGAGACTGGAGATCACAGGGCACAGCCCCCGTAGATCCTCACTCCACCCAGGCTCGTGAGGTGAGTTTCTCTGTGAGAATGCTCATTTATGGCTGGGGTGCCGGGGCAAGGGCGGTCACTCTCTTCTACTCACTCATACTGGAGTGGCACACCCTAACTACCCAGATATGCCCAATGAATTACAGCTGGTACTTCTCCCAGACTCTTACCCTGTCTGGATCCCTCTTGTCCCCCATCTCTGTCTGAACAGTGGGTGGTTTATCTCTGCAGGAGTGTCTTCCCTGTCCAATACTGGATATCACTTTGCTTTTGGCTGAGTGGCATGTTGTCACCTCCTTCTCAGGTTCCTTCGTGGCTTTGCAATGCTTTTCTCAAGTTGGTTGATATTCTTTGGGGTGTGGAGTCAAGAGTAGGCCCTGTGTTTCTTGATCTATCAAGAACAAAATCCAGGGCCTCCCCTCATGCATATTAGGCAAGCACTCTGCATCCC